AAACATGTCAGTAACCTCCCTGCTCTGTCCATGGAGGCAAGGCCTTAGGAGGAACAAGAACAGTTCTGGACACCAGAAATGACACCTACAAAAGTCATGACCACAGGCTAAAGAATGTGATCTAAATATAAGTATTGATAAAAACTGAGGACATGTGATAACATTCCTTCATCTGCTGTAAAGATTATTGCAAAGGGCCAGGAAACTCAGCTTTGCATGATCATTTCAGAAAGGATAAGGGTTATGGCTTAAATCTACAGTGAAGAGTTACAAAGACATCATGAGAAGTTTATGTATTTGTGACCAGGATTGAAAAGCACTGGACTGTCTAGAAAGGGCATGTGTCTGAGTGTCTTCACAGGACTTCAAGGACAGCTTGTCTGAGCATTGGCAGGACAATCCTGCATTGAACTTAAAAGGAGGTGATTGTAAAAATATTCCTCTAGGGGCATTGCAATAATCCAAGATATCCAGCTCTTAGATAGCAAAGAATTGTTTCCATGAAGACATTACCTTCATTTTTCACCTGTACACTCCCATAAAAGTCCTGTAGCTGCTGTTGGTTGCACCCATCTGCCAAAGGCTACACCTCCCTGAAATGGTCACATTCCTGTCTCACATATACCAGTAATACTGTGATACAGCAGCAATTATTCTGCTTATTTTCCATCTCTTCATGACAAGTCTGTCCCAATTTTTGCTGTGATATCCAAGAAGCTTTCAATTATTTTTCCAGAGGTCTCCTGTCACAGGGGTGGATCCCTCCAGGTCAATGGACACTGTTTCACCTGCCTCTCTAAATGCACCAAACTGAGCCTCTAAAATGTCAAATCACCCTGTAACACACTATAAACCAGTGTTTAGAAAACCTCTTGGGTTTAAGATACCTTCCACCCAAATGACAGAGCAAAGCAGAAGGATTTGTAATGAGAGTACACACAGAGGTCACGGAGAACATGGCCCATGATGGGCAAAACACAACACAGCATGGGAGGATTTCCTGCTGCAGGCCAGGATGTGCAGAGGCACACACAGCTTGTGTGTAACTACAGACTCAGACTCTGGGCTTGAATTTTCACTGGTAGGAGAGAAAATGGCCCAGGCCACTACTGCATTCAGTGACCCTCTCCCAACTGGGACAGGGCTTTCATGGCTCCAGGGCTAGTGCCTGGGTCTCTCTGCCTTCCCCATCCCACCACCACACTCATCCTCACGTTTATTTCACACTGGAGCTTCATCCTCTTTTCCTAGCAGTGTCCCAATTGTCACTTTCTCACACAGACACCAAGTAACCTCCCTGCCCTCCTGACAATGAAAGATGTGAAGTCTCTCTCTTTTCTTTACTGCTCAGTGGAAATATGGACCATTCTTAATTTCATTTGTTTGGGCTTTCTCCATGTTATGAGTGACCTCTATGCTAACCTGCCTCTGCAACTCTTTTCAAGGTTTTATTCTATCCTCCAGCCTAAACACATTCCCAGACTTTCATTGACCTACAGTGGCACCGAGTGGAAAAGTTAAATAAAGCCCTGTGTCTCCTCTTGCAGGACACAGAATTACTGAGGAATTATCTGGAGTGTCTACAAGTGATGAGGAGTAAAATCTTATCTTTGTACTGCTCTGGGTCTCTGCAGCATATAGATCATTTGTCAGTGCCAGTTTGAGGTAGTCTCTCTAAACAGCCTGTTTTGCATTTGAAGCACTCACAGGACATGATGGTTCGGCTAAAAAACCATGCATTTTACATGAAATCACCAGGATAATTTGGCTGTATATCGTGTTCCCACAACTTAATATTCTACCTACAGATGCGTGATCAAGAAGAGATTCCTTAACTTTGACAGGGCACATCACATTATACTCACTTTATTATTGGAAATGATCACCCCAGGGTGCAAAAGGGAGCAAAGGCATAGTTTCATCATACCTTTTTTTTTTTTTTAATAAACCACATTTACAGCAGTGTGGGGTATTCCAAAGCTACAGAGCGCCACTTGCCAGTGGACAAGTGGTTATATTTTACCTGGATTGTGCAAGAAAGAAGTAACTGCTTAATTTAATACTGAGCTGTGTAAAATTCACCCTGGAAAATTCAACTTTTAGGCACACTGCTCATATCCACCAGTAAAAGGTAATTTCAGGTAGTGAAATTAAATATTGTAAATGCTGTACTCATAGATGTAACCAAAAACTGTCCTCACTATGGCTACACATCCTCCCTTGTACTTATCCCAAGATTCAGTACCGGACCCCTGACCTTCACAAAACTTTAACAGTTTTGATGCTTGCTAGAACCAACAATGATATTTTTCCTCTGCTTTGATGGTTATTACAACCAACTGAAGTTTCCTATTCTCCAACTCCGCAAAGACTTGACTGCAGACCCAGTTGAGCAGACCAGAAAAATATACTCTTGAATCTCAACAAGCACTTGATACAGTACATTTATTTGGAAACTGATACCACATCTATTTTGGCATTATGATTTTTATTTTTAATCCTCCATTTAAATACCCTATTTCACATCCAGGAAGGAAAATGAACATGGGATGGCCCATAGATATTTAGTAGCTATAAAATAAAACCTATAAAAATGAAAGTGAAATGAATTATCAAACCATAAACTAAAGTTCGGTGTTTAAAATCAGCCAGGGCTTTAAAAATTCAATTACAGCTTTAACAGAAACAAGTTTACTCAATATTTTAATAACCTTCTCTCATAATGTTTTTTTCTTCCTTTGCAAAACCTGGCATTACTGAGGATGTATGGTAAGGTTGCCTTTCCTCTAACTACTTTAAGATTGATTAGGAAACAGAAATATTGATGCATTTATCCAAAATAACTTAATTAAATGAAGCAAAAAATAGCTCAGAGGAACATGTCTCAGTAGAAAACTGGAGCTGATCAAGATCATGAAAGGTTACATTTAATATTCCTGGACTGCAAAACATCAGGACCATTAATTGAATATCAGTAATGGAGAGTATAAAGAGTAAGAAAGTTATTTAATGTTTTCTTAACTCACTGATGGGTTATTTTATGTTCAGTAACTTCTGTTGGTTTTACCATCTACCAACACTTGGGGGTCCTGCAGGGCATCTCAGGACAGCAGGTGAAGAGAACATCCCAGAGCACTGATCTGCATTACTTTTGTTAATGCTCAAATACAAAGGTATAAAACCCAATGGAAAGTCAGGTCTGTGTTTGCTTGGTGTTGATAAATTGGTATTTGTCAAGGTTTGGGGGATACATTCAGCTGTCTTCAAGCACCACTGGCTGCTCACATTCCTGGAGGCTCAGTCCAGGCTCAGTCCTGGCTCCTGCTGGCTTCAAAAAGAGTTTAAGTGACAAAACCCCTGAAGGACAAGACTTCAGGGGCTGTTACCTCAAGCCACAGCAGTTTTCAGGTCTGTGGTTTTAGAAGGGCTTTCTCCTCATCTGTTTTACTTTCTTTGGGAAAGGCATTAGGATTTTGACAAAACCTCTAGGAAAACAGTGAGGATGTGCCAGATGAACTAGGGAACTTTCACTCTAGTTTAGTTTGGAAACCACCCGTATCTTCATTTTAAACAGTGGCTTCTGAAATGCAGAGTAGCACCAGACCCAAGCTACAATCAGAGAGGTTCAGACTGCCCTGTGTGAAGCCCAGATGCTTTTATTAGGATCCACCAGGAGCTCCACAGCCTGGCAAATCCAGCTGAAGAACGAGCCCCACTGATAAATCTAAAACATTGCAGATGCAACAACATGGAAAAATAGGTGTTTCTAGTAGAAGAGGAACTGCAAGTGAAAATACATGATTCTCAAAGCTGCATCCAAGGAGAATGGAACAAAGATCTTAAAATACTATCACTAGAACTTCCCCCCACTGTGGTTGCAATTTTTCTGAAGTACCCTGCTTAAAACAGGTTTTCAAACCATGCAAGATAACCATGGCAATTTGGAGAGGTAAGCAGGCACTTAGCTAAAGATGGTAGAAGAATCTCAGTCAGGTTGGCACAGGAGATTAAAAAAAAAAAGAAATAAAACTTTTTTACATTTTTTTTCTAGCAAGAATGACATGTTATGGGAGGATAGAGGAAGATAATTGTCATAACAAAGGAATATGTTATTATTTATTGGCCACACTGAAGCACTGGAATCCTGGATTATAGTATCTGCTGACAAATGTTGCTTGAAATTTTGTAAATATCACTTAAAAAGTATGATAAATGAGTAATTCTGCACATACTCCACAACCAACCCTTTCAAAATTCAGTTCTGAGAAGCAGAGTGACTTTTTTTGTCCTATATGAAACGACAACATGCCTGAACACCCTAAAATCATCTTCTCTTTAGGCTTCATCCTACCCCTATTACCAGTAGAGCAATATTGCTGGTAACTGTAGCAAGAGGATTTTTAAAACCAACAAACAAATTGAACTTTGTAGTGACTCCAAGGTGTGGCACAGCCCACCCCGCTGGTCCCCTGCCCCCTTGTGCTGTCCCCAGCAGGGACCACTCAGCCCCGTGGCACTGGAGGGAAGGGCTGAGCTGCCCTTCATCCTCCTGGGCTGGGGAGGGTCACAACACTCAGCTCCCCACGGGCTGAGACCATTCCTCTGCCAAAATGACAGCTGTAAATAGATATTTGGTGTCTAATTTCTATATCCTTCAGTATCTTTACTTATATTTAGCCAAAACCATGACACATTTATCTGATTTGTTGCTATTAATTTCCTGGTTCCCTTTCTATTTTCTTCCTCCTCTCACAGATTCACTGGGTTATGAACTGCAGTAATAACATCTCCAAACCAATTTTTTTCTATTTGAAAAGCCTCTGATATTTTTTTTAAAACCACTCCAATAGTGCTGGGATACTCATTACCCTCCTCCTTCCCTCCCCAGCTCTAGAAGTGAATGCAAACAACAACGAGGGGGGGAGAAAAAGCCCCAAACCCTCAGCAGCAAGTTGGCTGATGCTGGCAGCAAGACAAATCTGGCACCACACAGCAGGCAGGCAGAGAGTGCACTGCTCATCCTTTCGGTTTGCCGTGTGTGGGAATGCTGGACACCAACACCCAGCGAGGGATCCGGCCAAGGGCTCCTCTCCTCGGCGCCTGAACCCTGCTGCTCTGTGCCTGGGTGGGAGATACAGGTAAAAAACAGAGGAATGCTTGAGATAACTGCCTTCTATTTCCACTGAATGCAGTTAGGAGAAGCCCAGGCTGCCTAATCTTATTCCTAGCACAAACCACAGTGCAGGGGCTGTGCACGTAATGCCCTCAGGTACCGGGACTCGCTCGGGATTCTTCGCTTTACAGCAAATAAATTGCTGCAAGTGGCAGTAAAGATTTTTTTTTTTTGGGGGGGGGTACATTATGTTCAAGCTGCCTTTATAAATATTTATTACTATTTGTATAATTATAGCTCTCTGACAGCAGGCTTTACAGCAACTTTGAGCCACAATAAACAGGCAGCCTGGATGCCTCCTCCCCAGCCTGACTGTACCTATTCTATGTGTTATATGTTTATCTATTACCACCACGCTTTGAGCTTATAATTTATTTCATAATGTAATTTATAGTTACATTACAGAAGCATCCCTCTGCAAACAGCAACCATGTAATATTGATAAAGCATTTAGGGACAGAACATAAATTCAACGGCTCAGATATTATGTAGTATCAATAATCTGCAGGGAAAAAAAGTGTCTGTATAAGTATGCACAATTTATTATGGCAGGAACCTAAACAGAGAACATCTTTCTCTGTCAAACTTTCTTTAAGAGAACTTGACATCCCCAAATTCTTTTCTCTCCCACAGATGTCAGAGGACAAGACAGACAAGGTAAAAATCAAAGCAGCTGAAAGTTTTGAACATGAAAAGCAAAATATTTCTTGGCTGAAAAAAGGTAAGTTACTTTGAGTTATTAGTTACTGGTTTGTGTTCAGACATTTCTCTTTTCTTAAAAAAAAAAGGCAGAAAATAGCCTATAGGCTTGGATATGGCCTGAAATTTCTGCTCAATGTGCACATACAATTTCTTTTGGTAAAGAAAGGCCTAAATTATCAAATTTTAAAGCAACCTGAAAGCTCATTTTTCTAATGTCCTTGCATTCCTGGGACAGTTTTGTTTGAGCTGACCTCTAAGTATGGATGATCATCTTATTTCTGATGAAAAGTTGTTAATAACTAAAACTGTTAATGAATTGGATTAATATTATTAGTAATTTTTTTCTCAAACATGAGTAAAGATCAAGCCTGAATCTTCAGATTTGGAAGTGTCTTATCTTAGAATAAAGTAACATCAGTTGTCTGCGCTTTGGATGTACAGAAACATAGACCCTCAAATGTAGACAAGTCATAAAGCCAAGCATGGGGGCCTTTCAGGTTTAAAAGGCTGAAAAAGAAATGGTGTTAAGTAGCTAATTTGCAACAAATACCAGTATTTCAAATACTACATTCTATTTTTAAGTTACTTTTTGTTTTAAAAAGAAAAAATTTGAAAGATTTCCTTATTGGTTGTACCGATAAAGAAGGAATCTTCTTAGGACATATTTCTTGCTGAAAAAAGCTGATTTGCTAAGTTAGAACATAGCTTATTACATCTTTATGCAAATTTGTTGGTCATAGCAGAATCCCTTTACTGCATTAATTACAGACAAGTAGGATTTGAATTAAATAGAAGTTCCAGGAGTAAGCTTTCAAGATGCACAGGATAGAAATTAAATGTCCATGGCTGGGTGCAAATTATGCTGTTTAATGAGAATAGTTGTATTCTAATCCTAAAAAATTATTTTGGGAAAACTCAACAAGTGACCTCATATTTTGAAAATGCTGACTATGAGAGTATTGGGCAAAAGGCACATTTATAGCCACTGTTATGTCATCTGTAAGATGTGCATCACTATTTTAAGCTCATGTCATTAGCTGTATCTTAGATCTTTCAGTTGCAAAGGAGTTTTCAGCAAAGCAGGCTTGAATTAATGTCCCTGCCTTGCAGCCTCCCATGTTTTTGCAGCATTTGAGCAGAAGGAAAAGCTCCTACTGGAGCAGGGCTCACTGACCAACCTGCAGACTTGGCTTGACTGGACACCCAAAATCCTCTGCTTGCAAGGGGTCCCTTAACTTCAACAACAACTCAGCAAGCAGAAACTTTGTAGTTTGAGTGTCCCAGAGAGGGACAGAGCTGAGTGAGCAAACAGCAAGCACGTAACTGAATTGAGTATTTATTCCATCGCTAGAGAGTAAAACACAACAGATCTGCGACTCTATAAAGGGATATAAAAGTCCAAAGGATTCTACCATGTCTCTGAACAGGGTAAGAGTGATGGCAAGGCCCTCAGAGTCCCATATTGTCATTTATCCTCTGGTCCAGACCTCCTCCAGGAGCCAATTACATCCCTCAGAGCCGTACCTGAACTCATTTCCCTTAGCTAGGCTGCTTCACAAGGTTTTATTCCTCCAGTTCCTAAGGAGAAACACTATGCAGAGTTTCAGGATCATTAGCAATGTTTTGATTGTTCTGTGCTTGGAGGAGCTACAATCTCTCAGAAAGAGCCAAGTGTTGACTATTGGCACTTCTCCTTTCCAAAGTGCCACCGAGCAGAATTGGGCCTTGAAGATCTCCTACAGAAGCTGAGTCAATAACTGAATGTGTCTCATGAGGAAAGCAAGTTTTCCTTGAAATAAGAATATGGAAATTATTTTATCTTAAATTGAAGTTTGTTTTTAAAAAAAATTGTTGTTGTTTCTTTGCTTTAAGCACTTCTGTGGTATGCACTGGGATTTTAGAATATGGTGAAACAAATTGTCTGGAGCAGAAGTTTAACTTCTATGTTTAAATGTTTTAAAAATACCTCATGTATAGATTTCAGGCATTCCAATAAACAAAGAATTGTGGAGAACAGACTTGTACTGTTTCCATCAGGCACAGTAAGAAGACTATATGTTCTTTTAGCATCCAGTGTTAAAGAAAAGTTATTTTTATTCATGGTTTCGTATTGATTATTTGTTCCTTCTAAAAGAAACAATAATGAACCACATAGTATCAGAAATAAACAACTAGGCTGTGGTCTTAGTGTCTTTCCTAGACTTCAGTTTTTCCTAATGCTTTGCAAAGTAAAAGCTCGTGGACTGGTTGTACTGTGGGTCAACAGCAAAATAAGGTATCTATAAATTTTTGTTGTCTTTCAGCATTAGAAACGGTTTAATCAGGGCAGAGGGATTTTGATCTGGCTGCCAGTTATTTATCTTCTACTTTTTCTTGGAAAAAGATAATTTAGTTCTGTCATGAACCCTCTAAAAGCAGAAATCAAAGCCTCATTCTGAGGGAGAACTTTCCCAAAGCAAAACAGAAACCAAACAAGCCTTGTCAGAAGTATTACAGAAAAACAGTAGGCTGGGCATCTAGGGCAGTATCTTATCAGCAGGAAGAGTACAAACAGTTCAGCTCATGGCTCTGCCTCTAAATAAGCCATTTTTACCCAGTGATGTGCCCTCACACCCCCGCCAGGGGTGCACCAGGAAACTGATGGCAGTTAGAGATGACACAGGGACAAAAATGTTGCACAAGTCAGCACAGTCTGGGAAATCATAATTATGGCCTTGGTCTGTATTTTTTAAAGGACAATGACAAATTTATCCTTTCCTTTTCTTTTTTCCCTTGTACTACAAGCCTTTTTCTGGTGAGGGGTCCTCTACAGCACTTGCAGAATGTAGAACCATAATGAAATAGTAATCAAAATGTAAACAGGGGAGAAGAGTGTTAAATGTGTTTTCTAGGTTAGCTTAGACTTCAAAAAGTCCCAAAACATCTTTATCTCTTGAGGCATTTAGCACTGAAGTCTAGATGTGGATAACATGAAAGACTCCCAGGGCTGAAAGCGAGAACAAGGATGGTGAAATGTTTACAGTCCTATTCCATGATGTCTCAGGGTAAGGAATATATACACCAGAAATGTTTTCTGATAGCATGGAATATTCTTCAGGACTATTTATTTCTAAAGATCCCACAACAGATGAGAAACCCTGCATCTGAAGGGTATGCAGCAGACCATCACATGCACATCAACCAGAATCTGTCTGAATGAGCATGGAGAAAAGGCAGCTCTGCTTGTCTGACCTCAACACTGCTGTGAACCAACCCAAGGCAAGACTGGGATATAGCAGCAAAACCAGACAATGACTCCTATTTTATGTAGGAGGGGAGACAATTATTGAAACTTTTTTCCTTCCATGAGAAGAAACAGAGTTGCTGGAGATGAGAGTTGGTTTTGGATGGAGATACAGAGATCCCCACATCAGTGCCTACAAAACATCCGGGCAGAGTGAAATACGGTTTCATTAGCAAAGAAGAACTTCAAAAGTTATCTGCCATAGAAAACTGGAGCAGGAATCTTCAGTGCATGTGCTATCCACACTTATGCACATTTTGCCCTGACATGCACAAAATAACATAGATGACAGTGCCTAGAATATGACAGGTATAAATAAAGAACAGCCAATATAACTTGAAGATAATATTTGAGAAATGTCCTCTGCAAGGCCTTGCATCCCCACCTGCTTCATGCACTCACAAGATTCCATGGCGAGAGAGTGACAAGAAAAGTGTGAGGTGTTTTAAAATTGAAAAAAATAAAATAATACAAAAAGGAGATATTTAAATTAGATGTTAGGAAGAAATTCTTCCCTGTGAGGGTGGGGAGGCCCTGGCACAGGGTGCCCAGAGCAGCTGTGGCAGCCCCTTCCCTGGAAGTGTCCAAGGCCAAGCTGGATGGAGCTTGGAGCAACCTGGGATAGTGAAATGTGTCCCCACCCACAGCAGGGGGTGAAACTGGATGCTCTTAGAGATCCCTTCCAACCCAAACCATTCTAGGATTCTGTGATTTGATGAGAAACAAGCAGATCATCACACCTCAAACAGGAAGAACCTCTGTGCCCCTAACCCAACATTAGAGGGTCCTGTAAAATCTGGAAGCCACACAAGACATGCCTTTAGAAAGGCAGTACTCAAGGATGAGCAGCAGTCCCAGGAATTTGCTCTGGGCTGATCCCACCTTGCTCAACACAGCCTTTCCACAGGGGCCAGTGGCTCCTTCCACCATGGCAGTGATTTAGGGCCAGATTAGCAGCCATCTGGTGGGAAAGGAGGGAGGTCAAAGCAGAGCTAAATTCACACCAGCCTCAGCATGTGGCTTTTGGAGCTCCTTACAAACAAATCTCTTGGTATCACTTGGTGATTACAGCCATATGGAAAGCAGTGGGAGCAGGCGGGAGCTTATCTGACGGACATAAAGCTATAAAAGGTGACACTGATTTTGCACAGGGACCACAGTGGTCTGTTCACTATTTCTGCCTCCACTGCAAATGCAAGGGGGAAAAAAAAATGTTTGAGGGCCTCACACTGCCCTCCCACGGTTTCATCCCAAACTGGCCACGGCAGCCCAGGAACGCAGATCCAAGTCACACAGAAATGAAATTTCATTTCAGGATATTTTCACACAAAGCCCTCCTGTTTTATGCTGCCCAGCTGTGTACACAAATGCCCTCCATATATAACTTCCAGTGAAAAGTTAATGAAATGGCTTCCTTGCTCTCTTGCCAAAAATATAACTGAAAGTCTAATCTCAAGACTTTCTCCAAAATAGCCCCTTTTTGCACTAAAATTCTCATAAATCAGAAACATTTTTGTCTAAAATAAGCCTGTTTTCATTGTCTTGCAAATAGTAAAAAGTCTAGCCCCAATTTCTTTAATCCATTGCTCCAGCCAGCAGATTTTTGCTGTAGGGTGAAATTCAGCCCAGTACTGAGGGTCAGTGCAAGGTCAGCACTTAAACCATAAAATAGGGCTTAAGTGGTAAATAGAGCCTCTGTTCAGGATTATATTTCACCCCTTAAAAGGACTACATTT